CACCATGTAGAGCAATAGTTTCCAACCTGGGAGGTCAGGACTCTCACAAATTGTCACAAGATGAGCATAAATGGCTGAAAGAGAAAAACTGTTTATGTTTCTGAAAAAGAAAAAAAAAAGCTTTGCTTGAGATTTAAGTAAAGCAAAACCCAGCCCAAATGCTGTCACATTATTAATTACCTTTATCAAACAAAAAAATGTTAATACATATCATTATCATGCAAAATCAATTATATCTTATTAGAAAGCTTTATTCCATCAATCTCTCTTTCTTCCTTTCTCTGTTCAAGGCTCACATATCTTCAATAGCCTTTTTAGCCATGATCATTTTGAATCTATTCATTGATTAAACAATAGATATGCTCATCTCATAATTTGGGAATTCATTCTTTCTGTAATCCCAGAATGGCTTGCAATCATCCCAACCCTTAATTAAGGGCAATAATTGCCCCTGCAGCTAAATAAGAGCACATTCTTCTTTGTGGCCGTTTTATGGATGTCAATGTCAATGCTGACGGTGAGTTTTACTATCATCATCGACGCGGCTGTGAATTGTTCAATAAAAACCAGCGAGGTGTAAAGGCCAAAGACTGCATGTGCCGCCTCTGCTGCGATAGGTCATGTGTGAAAGGTCAGCGCATTATTTCATCGACATCAGCCTTCCCTGGACCTGACCCTGAAATAAGGAGTTAACAGCTGAGGCTTAGAGGGCCATGTGGATGACTCAATTTAGCTCCTAGTGAAGATAAGAAATACAAAAGAGATTAAAGAAAAAAAAAAATCCAAAGTTTTCAAGTTGCTGAGTAGATGAATGAGTAGCATCAGGAGGAGAAGAAAAAGTGTTTTCTTTTGGGCACTGTGTAATACAACCTCCATGTTTACAGCTTTTGATAAAGCTTCTATTGGTCCATACACTGGAAAGCCTTGATGAAAAAACAAAATGAGCCTGAATTCTATCAGTTTTGGGTTGACTCCTAAGAAACGTTTATAATTGTAATAATAATTGTAATTTAACTGTTCTGCGATCACAGTGAAAGAGTGAAAGTGAATTCTGCGCAAGAAAATTCCAGCAGCTTTGGCATCTAAACAAGAGAGGTGGCAAGTCTTTTACTTGTCTATGCCCAGGGACCTGTTATTTCACAATCTGTCTGTCTGGACCCAGATAAGATGCAGGAAAATGGTGGATCGATTGAACCAAAAAATACATAATTAATTTGATAATTTAAGTTTTTGCTAAAATTGACATGTCCAAAATGAATCGATGGGCTTCCCACCAACAGCCAAAATGTATAGCTAATTGTACTGTCTAAGACGGGCAAGAAAAAAAGCCTCAAGAATGTTTTAAATGAAATTTAAGACTTCTGCTGCCTTTTTTGAGAGAACCTAATAAAGGCCCTTCACCACTTTTCGAGACCTCTTATTGTTCAGGTCCCCCCAGGGTTCAAACTAGTCAGTCAGAAAAAAAGTCAACTTCTGAATGAAGGCGGGTGCTTCTGAAGAGAAAATTGATGCTGGGAGCGGGTGGTGGTGATTGTTGCTTGACAAGAGCTTCAGCCATTGTTGTATTTATAATTCTATAAAAAAGAGGTTATAATACACCCTCTGAGCAGTGCTATGTTTTCAGAGCAGACCTGAGGATACAGTGAGTCGCTATCACAAAGTTAGCTGATTAGCGTGCTAACTTCAGTAGAAGATAAGACGTGACAGAGAGTTTTTGCTTTCCACCACTGAAGACAGCTCTTTCTGAGTAAAGGAATGAAGTTTGATGCTGAACAACATTTCTTTCAGGTCAGTAAACAGCTTATAATTATAATGTTAGCTATGTAGCAATAGCTATAACTGACAGAAAGCTCCATTAAAACATGACATTTGTGTTATAATTAACATTACTCAATAATATTCATTGTTAATCATGAGATTCAAATGTGTCATTTTATTATAGATAACAGCTGCATAGTTGGTCAGTCATGTCATGACAATGGTTTGTTAAATGACTGGTGACTTCCAGTTGAGATAGCATTACATTAACATTATGGTCAGTGGTCATGCACTGTAGCTGTTCGGACAAGACAACACTAAAAAGACAAAAGCCCACACTTTCATTTTTCAAACATGAAGAAAAAAGAAAAGAAAAAAACATATTGTGTATACAAGAAGCATATTAACCAGCAAACAGGCAAGGTTTCCAGTTTATTGTTTTGCCCACTCACATCATTAAGTTAACCAGCTGCAGCTGAGAACAATCAACCCTTACTTGCTGCAGCTTGTTAAGACACTGTTGTTTTTGCATGATATAATTAAAACTGTGGCTCTTGTGATCTGAAATTCGCAATTTTGATATATAAATGATGACTTGTTCAGCCACATTTCATTTGAGTAGTAATTACAAGGAAATACTCATCATTACTTTAAGCAATTGATCATTGCTCCGCTAAACAAAACCTACAATGCAGTGAGTTGCTGAGCGTGAAGAGGTTTACTCTTGTGGCCGACTGGGCAACAGGCCGGCCTCTGGAACTGAAATGTGACACTTAAGCTGGAGGACGGGCGTTCAAACGCCACTACTGTATGAGTAATCATCTGCTTGTCTCAAGTGTCCTTGAGCAAGACACTGAATCCCTGTCAGCTCCGGCAGCGCTTCTCTGCAGCTGACCCTGACCTCCCTGTGGAAGGAGCTGTGGGTGGGGTTTCCCTGCATGGATCAATACAGAATCAAGTATTACAACTATTACATTTCAGACATGCAGCGTGTCCATGAGATGAACTGAACCGGAGGGCGGTGGGGGTATGCCGGTAAAAGCTTGAAACTATCGCTCACTTTTCCATCTGTTTGTGCTGAAGTCACAGTACGGAGGAATCATACAGGAGCCCCTCCTACACCCAACAACAATATGTTGAGCAGGTGGGGAGTAAAGTGCACAAATGTCAATGTGCTGCAAATCGATAAGCTCTCATTGAACCTGAAAAGTAAGAGCTCTGTGTGTGACAATAGGACCAGTCTTCCCCAGTCCGTCATTCTCTTCCCCTCCCACCCTCGCCTCACTCATTCCCCCCTCCATTTTCCACTTGTCATCTTCTTCCCTCCCTCTTTTCTATTCTCTCTCTCCCTCTCCTTCGCCTCCCTTCTCTCTTCTCTGTGTTTGGGTAATGAAAAAGAAGAATCGATGAGTTGCTACTTTGTGCCAGCAGAGGTGTTGAATGGAAATCAATCCACTATCTAAAGACAAGAGAGCTGCAAAATAACACGGAGACACACAAATGAATATTGGAAAAGAGAGAAGAAGGGAGAGCCAGAGGATGAAAAGACAGGAGGCAAAGATACGACTTTGAGTGAGGTGACAGGGAGGGGAACAATGGTGAAAGGCTCTCTCATCACTCCACCTCCGTGCCCCCACAGGAAGCTATTTGTTTGTGCCTGTCATTCTCTCTAACTTTCCAACAAGTATTTTTAAGCGTCAGGCTAAAAGTATAAACTCAGCCTTTTGTAAGGTGAAAACCCTACAAATGCAAAAAGGCTTTAGTGTGCTTTGTGGAAGAACGAGAGATAGATAGACAGATGTGATCTATGATGTGATCTATGATGTTATCTCTACAAGACAGACAGCTGTGAATCCCATTGGCGCCGTCTCTCTATGATGCATCCTCTGAATGGGGTTAAGTGCTGATGAATTATGTACAGAGATTAGGAATAATATGAAAGGCGGATAACACCAGCAGAGTCTTATATGAATGATCCGTGTTTGTTAATTATACATTGGTGCAGTCAAAGACAGATAAAGATCATACATTCAAAGTTTGTGGGGAAAAAAAGAGAATATATATATATATATATCTTCAGAGATGAATTTCTTAACGACCCTGGGCATTGTCATCATCGTGACCCAGACAGTCAAACCTTACTCTCTCCCAGCTCTCGGTGATGACGATGTGTACTGATGAGGTATGTATGGAGATTAGCAGAATATGAAAGGCAGATAATACTGGCAGATTTCCCTTCGAAGGCTCTTTGTGTTTGTTAATTCCCCCATTTCACCAGGGTAAATATTTAGCTCAAATAACAATCATTCCCCGCGAGATCCATCTAATCTTTGTAATCCTGAACAAATAGCAAAAGTCAAGAAAGATTGGCAGAGCTGTTCCTGTCAAGGCCGTCCCAGTGAGTCAGCAGGGGGAGGGGGAGCTGCGTTGTTTTGGATGAGGATTGTGAACTTTCTCACTGTCTCTGTTTTGTCCCCCGTCTTTGTCGTCACAGCCCTGTTTCATCTCCATGCTGGTCTATTCCGCCCTGATATGAACTGATCTGTCTGCGCCGTAATTTCATACACAGTGATACATATAAAAAAATGCACATAGTCTTCAACATTACTACTATTCTATTTATAATAATTCTCACTTGATCATTTAATAGCTTTTAATATTTTTTCAATTGCCGTTTCTTTTTGGTATACAGTATATCCTTGGCTATTTCCTACTGTACATGCTGCATACACGCTGTACTGTTTATATCAATAGCTTATATTTCATTTACGGGATCAGAGCATTGTAGCACTCTCGTAGCGCCCTTGAAATAATATGGAATAATAATATCTCTTAACGTGCTGCAAAAGGTGCTATCTATTGTAGCATCTTTGAAGCACACTTGTAGTGCTTTTGTAGTTCCCTTGTAGTTCCCTTGTAGTGCCCTCATAGTGCACTTGTAGCACCCTCATAGGGCCCTCATAGCACCATTGTGGTGCCCTTGCAAGTGCCCTTATAGTGCCCTTGAAGCACCCTTGTTGAGCCCTCCTAGCACTGTTGTAGTCCTGTCAGAGTGTTTGCCTATTTGCCTCAGCTTCATCTGTGTTGTGTTACTATTTCCTGTGATCACATTTTCCAACAGGATCATTACAGGTACATCTAATCTACTGTAATCTAATCGGTACAGCTCAGACCTGGGTAATTGTCTGCCTCCACTCAGTGTAAACTGTCTGGCTCTGACGTAGTGATTCTGTCAGTCTTACCTGTACACCAGCGAGTCGTCCTGGCTCCCGTTGTACTGGATCTGGAACATCCTAATGCCTGGAATATTCCTCTGGAAGTTGAACTTGATCAGAGCTGTCGACGATGTGGCTTCAGCCGTCACCACCCTCTTGTCCACGCCGCCCTTCACGTCGCCCGTCACGTTGCTGCCGTTGGCCCCGCCTCGGGTCGACGTGGAAATGTCCGACGATCCCGGGTCAGGCTCTTGGATGTTGTTGGTGTTGTTGGAGATGTGAGGGAGTTTTATAATAACCAGGTCAACTGTTTGGTGGGCTTCACCGGCAGGGTTGGAGGAGATGCAGGTGAAGGAGCCGGTGTCTTTCACAGTACTGATGAGGATGTCCAGGGTCCCGTTGTTGTACACCAATGTTCTGGAGGAGTTAGACACCAGTTTGCCCTCTGGAGAGATCCAGTGGATGGCTGGCTCTGGGTCACCTCTCGCCTTACACCTTTAAGGAAAAGCAGTAGAGTGGAACTTATGAGAAACAAGACAGAATGGGGTCAATTGTACAGTAAAAGCAGAGAATTTCTTGATGGTGGTTTCTGGAATCCCTTCACTTTCCCTCATGGAATCTAAAGTGGAGGGAAAAGACTCTGATAGTATTTAGACTGTCAACAGGGCACATATTCTTTAAGTTAAACACGCTTTACACTACAGCAAGGATGTAGAAATAAATTTTCATTAATCAGGTACGTATGAAATAATGACAGGGTACAGTTACATGTAGATCTCTGGTGACATTTTTGCCTTGTTTTGCATTGAGTTACTATGTAAGTACTATATATATACATATATACATATATATATATATATATATACATGTATATATATACACACAATAAACAATAAAGCTGTAAATACAATAAACCAAGGAACTACATGTGTGACTCATTCATAATGAATGTAGTTCAGTCATGAAGCAGAGATGTAAATAGATTTTAAAGCCTTATGACAAGTAAGTCATGTAAGTGAAACACTGAGGGACTGAATAAAAAAAAAAAAAAGTGATAATTTTTTTCATTGAGAAAATTACAGGAGAGAAACATTGTACACCCTATAATTTCTCACTTTTTTTTTTTTTTTTTTAACACCACCTCCCGAGTTGCATATAAAGAACAAGCATGTAAAAAAAAAAGTCTTCTGTTACCTTTCCCTCCTTTCCAATAGTGACCCCCCCACCCCCATCCCCAGATGAAATCCTCACAAAAACAAAACCAACAAAAGATCTTAAATTGGTCGCACTGCGCGCTCTCTTTAACTAAATTGTAAGCGCTCTGGCCACGGACCCCTCCATCAGGACAATTTTGAGCAAAGAATTGGCCCACTGTCGCCAAGCCAGGGAATGTTTTGTAGGTGAATGACTGTAATTAAAATGTGTGCAGTTATAATGGGATTTGAAGTTGTTAAAGATATAAGCAATAAAAAAATAAGGACAAAGAAATGTCAGAGTCATTGAGACCCTTCACTTATTCTATAATTACAGTGAAGTAAAACAGAATAAGCTCAAAGGGAAATGTAGTGATTTTTTCAGTGGACTTTGCTGCAGGGTCACACTGACAAATGTCTGACAGTGTCCGGACATGTATTACCTGGTATTAGCTTATTCCCAGTCATGAAGTTATAAAATAAAGAGTGAGTAAACTATTATCATTCATTATCAAATGAGATATATCGGATAAAAAAAATCATTATCAACACCTAACTGTGTACCCTGACTCTTCCTTGGCTTTTTGCAGTTTTATGCTGCAAAAACTGAAAAACTTTGGGTAAATTCATCCTCTGATAATCTGCACTTCACCTGATACATTGAGCTGAAGGCAAGACACAATAAAGGAAAGAGAGTAATGGCATCTCATTGATTTCCTTTGCCCCCTTTTTTCTAATTTTCATCATATTTCCACACTTGAAAACATAACATCTATTATGATTGGAAGCGTGTGACCAATATATATGCAAATGAAGTCATTATTAGCTTTCTGTTGTCTTGATTTAGTTTTGTCCATCCTAAATTTTTGGTGTAATGTCCCTGTGTTGTGCTTCATTGAACAGTAAGGCATTTCATGTATTCTTGAGCGGTTTATAAACACAATGCACAGCTACAGGAATTAAAATAGAGAGTGTGTCTATGTGTGTGTTTGTGATTGCTTGTAGGATAATGAGGAAACTTATTAAAACTGATTGCATCTATTCACATTATTAGAACTAATACTGATACCTCAGTGCGACTCGCTGTCCTTCAAGCACCCTCATCTCATGGGAGTATCTGGTGATGAGGGGGGGTTCACATATGAACTCCTCCTCGGGGATGGACCAGAAGTATCGACCAGAGAGGAGTTGGGGTGAGGCGCATGTCTCCAGGTCGTCCTCCCTGTTCAACCTTCTCAGCCACAGTAACTCACAGTTACAGTGGAGAGGGTTCCCGCCAAAAGACAGTGCGAAGGAAGAGGAGGTCATGATTCCTGATGTGGCCAGAACCTGGTAGTGTGAAACAATGATTCACAAGTTCAAGCAAAAAGTTATTTTCCAGTAAACCTCTGCTATACATTTGATTCTGGAGTTGTTTATGTGGAGGATGTGAAAAACTGTTCTTTAACCTGTGTGACTGTAGAAATCACCAGGGCCAGAAAACATGAAACATGATTCAAAATGTGGATGAAATAAACATTCATTCGAAGAAGTTTTAAATTAGCTTTGAGTTTTCTCTGCTGCTGAGTGTGGATTCTTGCTGGGAGCGGGTGGTGGTGATTGTCGCTTGACAAGAGCTTCGGCCATTGTTGCGTTTACAGGACAAGAGGTTATACTACATCCTCTGAGCAGTGCTATGTCTTCAGGGCAGACTGGAGGCTACAATGAGTCGCTATCGGAAAGTGACAAGTTGGGCCGGGGCTAGCTGGTTAGCGTGCTAACTTCAGTTCGAATTTAGGAGTTTAAGAGTTGACATTGGTGTTCCTTTCCACCACTGGAGACAGTTCTTGGTGAGTAAAGGAATGAAGTTTCATGATGAACTTGCTGCTTCTAGACTGGTAAGTGAACAGCTGTTAATGCTAACACTGGCTGCATAGCAATAGCAAATCCTGCAAATAGCTCATTTAAACAGATTTACAGTGATTTATCACTAATATGAAAGTTGCCCCATTGACTGCCATAGCGACCGAACAACAAAGTTTTGCTCTGAAGGGTCATCACATTTGTCTCGTCTTTAAGGCAGAGATGGAATTGTTAATTACATGGAAAGTTGTATCTTTTGCTGTAATGTAGTTTGGTGATTTTAAAATATTCTACCACTTTGCATGAACTGTTACCGTAAAAACAATATTAGAAAAAAGATGTTTCTTATGTTATAAGGATATATGATGTGTTCCATCATCAATTTAAAGCTTATTTGACCAAACTGTTTGTTGGGTTGGGTTTTAATCGTTTGAGTAAAGGATACCTGAGCTCGTTGAAAAAGAGGGTCTGGTGGGAGCTTCTGGAGCTTATTGGAGGTGACGTCCAGCCGGTTGAGTTTCTGTAGCAGTGAGAAGGTTCCCTCTGGAATAAAGTCCAACATGTTGTGGTCTAAACTCAACGTATGGAGGCTCGTCATTTTCTGTCGGAATAGCAGAGAAAAACAGATTTCTTTATGATTTTACCTTATATAAGGATGATTTAATACTTAAGGCTTCTCAGGGTGCACACTCATGGTCAGTGTCACTGTCTTTTCAATCTTTCACTCTTGATGTTCAGTGGTGATAAAAATGTTAAAGCTGAATTGGAGTGTTAATATGATTAAATACATTTAGAAAACCAGTTACCTGATGCCGCAGCAAAGGTGTTATTGCAACTGTATCGCAACTACTTAGTCTTTTCAAGATTCAAGAATATAATAGGAAGCTGTGACATTGAGATCACATAAAAATTGCCTGTTGACTGACAAAAAGCAATAATATGATTGTAACTTTTAGCAATGAAAATGAACAGACATTAAAAAACTTCAAGTGAGACAATCAATGACAAGTGCATATAGGTCTATTGAACTGTCTGATAATGGTCTCTCTTCTGTCAAAAAGCCCCTAAGATCTTTTTATTTTATTTCTAAGAAATGGCCAAAAAGGTTTTATGGCCACTTTATTGTGCTTGGAATTGGCTCTTTTTAAAGGCCTCCAGCTAAACAGGTTTGAGAGGCTGCTGCAGTTTAAGGAGATTCTGACCTGGATGGCCTCCCAAGGAATAGAGTCCAGATTGTTGTAGCTGAGGTCCAGTTCTTCCAGCGCCAGCAGGTCGTTGAACGCTCCCTGGTGGATCAGCACCAGCTGGTTGTTGTTCAGAATCAGGTGGTGAAGCTTCGACATCCCGCTGAATGTATCATTGCCTATCCTCGTCAGCCGGTTACTGTGAGATATTGAAGGGATAAAAATCTTTTTTTTAAACATCCAGATCTTTGCAGCTTTGTAAAAAAAAAAACTACAACAGTCATGATTCATCAGTCTATGTCTTAGACATACCTGTTGAGGTGTAGAGCTCTGAGGTTTTCCAGATCGGCAAAGGCATGAGGTGTGATGTAGGAGATGGTGTTTCTGGATAATGTCAGGTCTACCAGCCGTGTCATGTTTGCAAAATCTTTCCTCTTCACACTGTGGATATAGATGAGTTCATTTAAACAAGTGACAAACATATATCACCTCTGATATTTCCTCCAGTACTACAGATAAATATGTCAGACTATTCCTTTAAAAAATTGGTGTTGCATGTTTGTTGCTCCTTTATTAGTGTTCAAATGCACACTAGACTTGAAAGAGAACATTTTAAAGAAAAATTCATCCTAAAACAGAATTCACGTGGTATTTCTTTCATCCTGTGGAGCTCATTCAATATGAACAACTCTCTCCAAAGGCTACAAACCAGAGAACCACGGCATGAAACTGCAATGCCATCAGGAGACAGCCTTGAGCTGCTCCACTGACTATGAACCGACTCCGACTTACTCTGGGGCCCTCGAAGAATGTGCTTTCTTTAAACACCCAAATTAGTTTTATTTCATTCTGGTGCCAGAGGATAATGTGCTCGTATCCCCATAAAAAGCACCCTGGGTGATGCCGCTCTGTCCAAAAATTCTCAGACTTATTCATGTTTGCTGGAGGAGCTCTGGGCGCTGTTACATCATGACATCATAGATCACTCTCTGCTTGCAGTTTAGAGGGAAAGTTGTTCATTATCCACGACTCTATAATTCATGTGTCTGACTATGCTTCTGGTGTTTGGGGTTTCCGTGAACATACAAGTTTTAACACTGTACATCATTGAGCTATTTGATTTTTTTCATTCTACGTTAGCACACTTTGAACTGAAGTTTTAGATGAGGTTTTAGAGAGCACTGTTTTACCCTCACATCCAGGCAGATTGGTGTGTTTGTTTTTATTTATTTTGCCGTTAATGAATAAATTGTTCAGATGACAAAACGCTGCCCAGGGATTAATGCCACGCTGCTGTGTTTTTATGCCAAAGCCCTCTGTATTAGCAACCCCGCTATGTCAAAGCTATGGTGTCTTTGACATGAATGAGTCAATGTTAAAGGTCCCATATTGTTTTTTGATTATAAATCAGGTCTAGGTTCTGTTGTGCTCTCCTGTGAAAGCATCAAAGTGCTCAGTCCACAGAGAAATGCACACAGCCTGTATTCAGAAACTGAGCCTTAAAACCAGCCATCAGGACTTCTGGAACTTTGTGATGTCACAACAAAGCAGTCACCGCCCTCAGCCATGCCCCAAGCCGAGCCCACCTGGATGGTGGGTCCCACCATCCAACCTTGCAGGATGTGGTTTCTCTGAGTGTTTTCCGGTATGTTTTTATTAGATCACTCAAAAAACAGTCATCCAATCAGAAGATAGGCTCTGAGCCTCCTCTCTTCTGATTGGCTCACCGACCTGTTGTTACTAGAGCTCCAGAGAGAAGCCTGAGAGAGGACATGTAAAACTACATTGAGATGGTTCTTGGTTTATGAAACCACAAATATATCTTCTTAAGGATATCAATACTTCAAATAAAACACAGAAAAAGTGTAAAATATTGGACCTTTAATTTCTATATGAACACTATCCAAAAAGTAAAAACTGCAGTAGGGTAGTAACAATAGCAGTAGCGTTTGCAGAGTGAGTGGTAGAAAATACTAGTGTTGTTAATAGCATCATGGAGGTGACTGTTACCTTGTGACAAAGTTGTCAGCCAGCCGTAGCTCCACAGTATGCCTGTCAATGTTCGGTGGTACAAAGAGCAGACCTTTCTTGGCGCAGAGGGTTGCCAGGTTGGGCGACAGGATCTGACATACGCAGCGCTTTGGGCAGATCTGTGCCCGCACTGCCATGGCAACTGCCAGCATCACACACAGCAACAGCCTCTCCATGGTAACCACCCCACCTGGACACAACACCTGAAAAATGAGACAGACGGACACAAAGAGAGAAACGGAGATGAAGCCATACTGGAAATAAGATACTGCAAAAAACAAAGCAGAAAACAAAACAAGAAATGGATAGAAACACATTCACCATTTTATTAACATGGTCTTTTAATATCTTTCCAGTGTTTCTGCAAAGTCTTTAGGCAGGAGTGCAAGGAAAATTGACTAATAGACAATTTATCATACACTAAACTTTCTTTTGTATCAACTAAACTGTATGCAACTTTCAACGCAGAGAGCTGTATTGAAAGCTGAGTGTTTATATTGTAGATAGGATGATAAGAACCACTTAAAATATTGGTCATATCAATAGAATTCCTTATTACATACACAGTTATTACACTTTGTAAGTGTAGAGATTCTAACTCTGATAAAACTGCTAATGAACAGACTTCACTAAATGAACCCAAATGTCTCACCACCAACTTTTAGGTATCACTAATCAAACCAGGGGAGATGTTTATTAGTTATTCATTGCCCAGCAGCATAGCTGTGCACGCGCACACACACACACACACACACACACACACACACACACACACACACACACACACACACACACACACGTTCGGTCATCATTAGTAAGCAGCAGTGCTTGTTGTTAATTAGGAAAGGTTTAGAGAGAGAGACGGAGCAGGGCGATGCGGGGCGAAAGAAAATGCTCATTAATGACAACCTTGATTGGGGCTTGAAGGGCATGGGAGAGTCAGGATTAAAGAGATCACAGTGCAAATGCGCACACACGCACACACACACACACACACACACACACACACACACACACACTCACATAAATATGGTGGAGGTGAAACAGAAGTTGAGGTTTTACCTCAGTAAACGTTTCTCACACTTCATCATATAAAAAAGGTGAGCTGGAGAAGAAGGAAATGAGAATGATGTAAGGAATGTGGTGTAGTGCACCATTTCTAAGTAAAATGAAAAGTCAAAATGATGAAGATCAGTTATAAGCCATTAATATGACTTGTTTTTTTGCACTGGCGGCTGCCACTGCTCATGCTAACCCTGCAGTTCTTATAGCTTTTCCAAACAGGAAACATAAACCTGACCATCTTCTTCCTTTCTCGCCAGAGCAGATTTCTTGGAGAAGAACTACTAGACTTAAGTTGTTCATAGAAGTACAATGTTTTATGTTCGCACACATCGCCAACAATCTGTCTGTGGGACTCAGGCCCAGGTCCATTTCCAAAGACATGAATCATAAACAACAATTACAAATAAACGCACCCTATAGAAACTATTTTGAAAAAAAAAAATTAATACATTTGATGCAACAGAGTATTTATGGCAGCGTATGTGGGATCACCTAAAAATAAACTATAAACATCACGTTAGCTGCATTGAAGGAACATGTGACCCAGAGCAGTGGTGTGGTTCATTATATTTTGAACAGATTTGGAACAACAGCAGAGCTCTGTGGCAGAGAGGAATAAGCTACATCAGGCTTTGCATACACAGGCCACACATGTTATTAGAATAGAGATCATAGAGATGAGGAAAGACTACAAAGACACAAAATAACAACTGCAAAGAGACACAAACTGAGCACAAGAAGACATAAATCAATAGAAATAGATGAAAAAACTATCATTAAGATACACATATTGGTAGTTTTGGTCTTTTTGTGGGATTTATTTACAATAAGAAAAATATAAATATGACCAGCCTTATCCTTTAATGCTGCAAACCAGAAAACCCGATCTAGACAAATACAGTTGCTGTAATGGTTGGGTGTCAGCTGACTGGGCTTTGCAACATAGGACAGTATAATGCCTGCTACATGATCACAGGGTGTTTGGAAATTAATTTAGTATCCGTTTCAGTCATTATTACTTTCCCTGTCGCTATCTTAATTGAGTCAGTGTGATAACACTCTGCTGCAGGTTGATATAAGTGCTACATATTCATATTATATCAAATCGCTACCCAGGTCTGACTAAGAAGCCATTCACCTGTCTCCGCTCTAACTTTGCGGTCCTCTCTCTATATATCTCTTTCATTTCTTGGTGTAATTACTGAGCTGAAATCTGCAGCGATGTCGGAGGTCATACGATCCCTGCTTTTCTTTCCCTCTCTATTTGAGTTCAGAGAAAGAGGAGCAGAAAGACAGAGCGGCAGCTAAATAGAGTGCCGGATGACTCATATGCACTTGTGCTACATAGAGAGAGGGAGGGAGGGAGGGAGAGAGAGAGAGAGAGAGAGAGAGAGAGAGCTCATGACCCTTGTGACACGAAAGCAGATATCAGCTCATTAATTAGACTGAGAAATGACTGTAATGAGAGTGAATGAGTGAGAGAGACAGAGAAATGGAAAGGATTCGAGGGAGAATTATCAGAGAGGGAGAGTGGAAAAAAAGAAAGATCAGAGAAGGAGCTAATTAAAATGAGTGCTGAGGTGTGACAGGAAGAGGGGGGAGCGGGGACGAATTTCATTTAGCGAAAGGAGACGAGGTAGCACAGATGATGCCGGCGTCACATTGTTGCGCTTATACACGACGCTAAAACTACATTGAACATTCGCTGTATAGGAGAGGATGTTTGGGATATAAGTAAAACATGTGGAAATGATCGTTTTCACACAAACTCCTCCAAACACAAGTTAGTGACTCGGTGTAGTGCGAGGTGACATGCGGGACTGGTGGAATCAAATGGAATGGCGAATTAACCAGCGGGATTATGGGTAAGGAAGACAAATTAAGCTCTGTTTGTAGTGGTGTGTAAAATACGATTCTGTTTCACACATGTGCAGCCTGCTTGATCCACCTCTTTGAAAGCCTTCCACACTGATACCCGAGTTCCCCGAAGGTCTGCCATAAAGCCAGTTTCACCCCCCCCCTGGCTCGCTCACTGATGAACAACTGGCTTCTTGGCCGACTCGAATGGATTCTCCACACGATCCATATACTGAAACTGAGCTTAGGCTGCATTCAAATCTCAAGGGGGATAACCAGTGGAACGGCTTGGCAGTTAAAAGCGACGGCTTGGAAGTATTCACACATTCAAACTCTTTTGAAGCTGCCAAGAAGCCACGATTGAAGATTTCATTGGACTTGTTGCTCCTGATCAGATTTTTCACACTTAATGCACAGCCAGCTAGCCAGTGATACATTTGAGGTCATGTGTTTTATAGGAAACGATACAGTTAAGTAAAAAAATCAGGCAATTTCATTTAATTTTCCTGTATTTCCATGTTGGAAGCTGTGGTAAACAGTTATGTAGGGATTTCTCTAAATCTTATGTCATTAGCTTAGCTGTGGTTAAAGGTTTCAGGCAGGTTTGAACCTGTGTTGTCGAGAACAAAATTACTTAATCTGCTAAATCCCAATGACTTGGATAAAACTGCATCATTGTGTAATTACACTTAAAAGGTGCTTAATTCATTTTTGACTTTAGAGACAGGGCTACAGAATTATTCAGTAACCTGAGGCTATAACACAGAAAAGATGTATTCTACGACTAATTACCAATGTAATTTGAATTCAAGCTAATATATCTGACAGCTTACAGATACTGCAGATTGTGAACGAAGAGAGTTGTAGGATTTACATTTGTTTTTGAGTGATAAAATGACTGCAAGTAATCTATATAATATAAAACATGCACTGTAAATTGATCCAGCGGTATTTCTAAAGTCCATCTTCAGCAGTTTGTGATGTGGTCGGCTGAACTGGAAAATCAGAATGCTGAAACCATATTGCCTTATTTCCATTTTGCAAGTGCATGAACAGCATTACTATATAACGTTCCTCTGAAAGAGTTGCTGGGCTTATACAGTTATAAAGTAACTTTTCCCTGCCGTTTAGCTGGATTTCAGCCGAATCTGTGCTAAATGGCAGCTAAGCTAGTCAGATGTGAAGTGACACAACAACAGGCCCATGGTGGGTCTGGTGGGTCAAGTCATTACGAACTGTGTTTAAACCTATATAAATAATTATTTCAAGTTCTGTTGGACTTACCAAAGTTTCCTACTAAATTCCAGACTTACTGATTTTGGATGAAGGATATTCTAATATCTATTTTTCTGTATGGCAAAACCACAGGGGATCTTGGGTTGCAGTGTTAAGATCACATTGCCTCAATGAAGAGTTGGAACAAGCTGAACAGAATATATGGTGTTACAAGGTGTGAAATATTTCAACATTGAAGCTATTTAAAGGGGAAAAGTTAATATTAGGTGTTACAGTTAAAGGTCCCATATTTTGCACCTTTCCAGGGTTTTATTTGACGTGTTGATATCCGTAAGAAAATATACATGTGGTTTTAAGCATCAAAAACCATCTCAATGTTGTTTTACATCTCCTCTCTCAGCCTTCTCTTTGGAGTTCTAGCAACCACAGGTTTGTGAGCCAATCAGAAAAGGGCTCTGAGCCGTTCCTCTGATTGGCTGGAGAGAGCAGGCTCTGAGCCTCTCTTCTGATTGGCTGACTGTTTTCTGAGTGATCAAATAAAAATAAAGCAGATTTCAGGTAAACTATCCTAAATCCTGCAAGGTTGGATAATGGGTGGGGCTTGGGGCATGGCTGAGGGCGGTGCCTGATTTGTTGTGGCCTCACAACATCGAAAGCCCTGACAGCTGGTTTTAAGGCTCAGTTTCTGAATACAGGGTGTGTACATTTCTCTGTGGACTGAGCGCTTTGATACTTTCATGGTTTCAATATAGAACCTAGACCTGATTTATTATCAAAAAAGACATAGAAATCTCACTTTATATAATATAATTTTCTGGTTATTCTTACAACTGAAAGCTGAAGAGAAGAGAAGAAGTGCCTTTTATAAAGGTATTCATCTCTGACTGACTGATGTGAACAGTATTGAGAAGTAGAAACCTTGTAGCCACTATATTTACCACATGACGTGAACGTGGCAGCAAACATAGGAAACTACTCCGTCTTCCTAAAGTGTCATCCAGCGGTTTGCAGGCCTCTT